TTGTTGATCCTTGAGCTCCGTGATGCCCTGTTGCTACGAAATCCCTCAGACCCTAGTACGTGACCCCATTACAGTTCCTAAATCTCATGGATGGCGTTCCCCCAAAACCCCTCAGACTCCGGGCATATCTGGCTCTGGGGTGCCTAAACCCCTTGGGACAGATCCTCGCCTCCAAAGACGCCGAACGCCTCCTACGGCAGGCGCCCGAGCGCCGCCAGCCGCGGCAGCTGCGCCGGCGCTCGCCCCGCCCGACGGGNNNCGGGGCCGGGGCCCCCCGGGCCGCGTCGGGAGCGGCGGCGGCGCAGCTCCGGCGGCGGCTGGAGAGCGAGCTGGAGGATATCCGCGGAGCCGGCACCTGGAAGAGCGAGCGCGTCATCGCCTCCCGGCAGGGTCCCCACCTCCGCTTGGCGGGCGGCGGCGCCGGTGCGTGCGGCGGGGAGGAGAGCTCTCGGTCCTTTCCCTCGATGCCATGCCCCCGCTTCTCTCTCTCTGTTCCCGCAGGGATCATCAACTTCTGCGCCAATAACTACCTGGGGCTCTCCAGCCACCCCGAGGTGATCCGTGCCGCTGTGGAGGCCCTGGAGAAGTTCGGCGCTGGGCTCAGCTCCGTGCGCTTTATCTGCGGTACCCAGGTACTGGGCAGCATCCCTTCCCCGGGTCTTTCGCAGGGTGTCCACGTAGCCTCCCCTCTCGGCGCTCCCACTCGGCATGCGTGCACAGTGCTAACTTACACGTAGCCCGGTGAGAAAAGGAGCCTGCCAAATCCCCACTAGCCAAGCATCTGGAAATAGGCCAATTTAAACCATTACAACACCTGAGAGCAAAGAAATTGAACACCCCTCTGAATTCAGAAAATAAATGCCTTTTTCTCTCTCTTTCTGGTCAAAATTGCAGTGAACCTGACTTGAAGTGGCTCTATCAGCCCAGCCCAGTTTATCCCTGCTGGAGCCTTTTTTGAGTCCTGCCTGGTTAAGTGCAAAGAACAAGTAGAGCTTCTCCCATGTGCAGGGGGAGCTTGGAGTCTCCCTGCCGAGCTTTGGCATCCAAACCCATAATCATATTTAGGGCTGTGTTTGCTGAACACAAGAAACTTCTCCCACGCACACACACCTTTTCTGGATAAAACCTGGCTGTCTCCTTCCCTTTCAAGTCAGCATTTAACATCACTGGGCAAGCAAGAACTTGTGCTGCCCCACTATTGACTCCTGCTCCTCTCTTCTCTTCTTCTCTTCAGAGCATACACAAGGACCTGGAGGAGAAGATTGCACGCTTCCACCAGCGGGAAGATGCCATTCTCTATGCCAGCTGCTTTGATGCCAATGCTGGTATCTTTGAGGTTCATGAGGCTTCCCTTGTGTTGTGCATGGCGGAGGGAGGTGACAGCAATGTGGCTGCCATGCCTTCCAGAGGCTGCTGTGAGCGCTAGGCACCAGAAAAGATGGCAGTGGCTGGTGGTGAAGGACCCTGACTTGGGGCCCTTGCACCAGGGAAGCCATGCAGAGGCATATAATCACCCTCGCCTCTGCTGTCTGCAGCCAGCTCCAGCTCTTGGGGAGGGCTCCCGTTTCTGCACCCTTAAAGTGTAGGTAAGGGACGGGGGTGATCTCACAGGTTAGGAAAGGGGGAGGGAGATTTTGAGCTGAGAAGCCAGAAGCAAGAGCCTGGCATAAAGAAATCAGGGGATAAGGTGACTAGGAAGGAATTATAAAGTTTAGCAGTGCCAGGAGAGATGTGGCAGCTGGAATCAATCACAGCTGAGTTTTCTGTACTGAGGGAGGCTGGGAGATCTCGGTGAGGTGGCATCCAGAGCAAAGGATGTTCCTTTCTGTTTGGCACGGCCAGGCCCTGCTGACCCCAGAGGATGCAGTGCTGTCAGATGAGCTGAACCATGCTTCCATCATCGATGGGATCCGCCTGTGCAAGGCCAACAAGTACCGCTACAAGCACATGGACATGCAGGACCTGGAGGCCAAGCTGAAGGAAGCGCAGGTACGGAGCTCTGCTCCCACCCCAAGGCCAGGGTGCTTGCTTAGCTGGGCTGCCTGTGCAGTAACCAGTTCTGGAGGGCGAGCTCTCCCCTTTCCCATGCAACAGGCATTGTTTTTGCCAATAGGCATGGATAGGCAAGGTGGCAAAGAGCTGGTTGTGATGCCAGTCCTCTCCATCTCAGTTGGGTACATCCTCTCCATACAGGGGTTTGAGTGTGTCCCTTTGCCAGCCACTCTGCTCAGGGTGACATCTTCACTCCTTTTTCCCTCCAACAGAAGCATCGACTGCGGCTGGTGGCCACTGATGGTGCCTTCTCCATGGACGGTGACATCGCGCCCCTGAGGGAAATCTGCCAGCTGGCCCAGAAGTATGATGCCCTGGTCTTCATCGATGAATGCCATGCCACAGGATTCCTGGGACCCAACGGGCGGTAAGTGGCTGCCTCAGCCCTGTTTCTTCCTCCTACCCTGACGAATTCTGAAGCAAGGACAAAGGTGCTGATGGCCGACGTGTTTTTGTGTGGGCACTCCTTGAAGGCTTTGCACCTCACTTTTGGATTGAAAGGAGATACTTCAGCAGTGATCCATCCCCAAGTGACAGCTGCTTCTCAGTGTGTAACAAATGGTGTGGCCATCTCATCTGGGTACCACCTCTCCTGGCAGGTGCTGTGTTTGCACTATTAAACTTCTGTGTGGGAAGTCTGAGCATTTTCCCGTCTCTAAGAGATGAAGAACACATGCTCTTACTTGGTGAGGTCTCAGCGTAGGATTTCTGCAGGAGAGGAAGGTCAACGCTTGGGTTGAACTATCTCAAGGGCCTATTCCTCCTTGCCTAGAAGGAGGGATGCCAGAGACCTGGCTGACAGTGCTTTGTTTTCCTTGAGGTATCTTGGCAGCTTCCCTGGTGCATGCTGGCAGAGCTGATAATGTGATGTTCCTTTTCCTACAGGGGTACTGATGAGCTCCTGGGAGTGATGGACAAAGTCACCATCATCAATTCTACCCTAGGAAAAGCTCTTGGAGGAGCTGCAGGTGAAGGCATCTTCCTGTCCAGCATCCTGCATGCTCTGAAGAGCTCTACAGCATCAGTCTTACTTTTCCTTCCTCTGCCTAATGACAGAGTAACAAATGCATGTTATCCCTTTCCACTGGTGGCATAAGGCTTGGTTTGTGATGTTGCTGCAGGATTAAGGGAGATCCTGCCCTGTGCCCCTTACACTGTCATCTTTTGCATGCTTTGCCTTTGGGGTCAAGGTGGAAGCTTTTGGTCAAAAGCATCAGCTGTGATTTTTAGAGCTGCTAAATTCCTGCTATAGGTGCCAGGTTGGCTTTATCAAGAAGCCTCACTCTAAACAGGTCACCCTGGGGTGCCTTGTCCAATTCTCTCTCGTCTGTCTGCAGGTGGGTACACCACAGGTCCCAAACCCCTCATCGATTTGCTCCGCCAGCGTTCCCGCCCGTACCTCTTCTCCAACAGCCTGCCCCCTGCCGTGGTGGGCTGTGCATCCAAGGCCCTGGACCTGCTCATGGAGAGCAATGCCATTGCACAGTCCATGGCTGCCAAAACCCAACGGTGAGGGGGCCATATTGGGGTGGGAGCAGGGGCAGCTTTGTTAGGAGTGAATTGTCTGTGATTTAGTCACCCCTCCTTTCCCAGTGATAACTGTGAGGACAGTTGGCAAATCAGGAATCAGGGGAAGCTGCAGGATGTGCCTGTCTGTGTCAGGTAGATGTGTCACATCTGGATCTCTGTGAGTTGGGGCACACTGTTCACTCAAAGATCTGCAGTCCCATTATGCTGAGCAGGACACGGCAGGAGGTCACTCCAAGAGGAGAGATCTCTGTCTTGCACAGAAGATGAACAGCAGAGCAAACCGTACCCAGTTCTCAGTGGGCAGGGCTTCCAGGGGAAAGAAAAGTAGTGGTCTCCAAGGATAGAGTTGTTGAGGTTTTTACTCATCCTGCTGTTCCCTTCACCAGGTTCAGAAGTAAGATGACGGCGGCTGGCTTCACCATCTCGGGGAAAGACCACCCCATCTGTCCAGTCATGCTGGGGGACGCTCGGCTGGCATCAGTGATGGCAGAGGACATGCTCAACAGAGGTGATCTGGGGAGGGAGCTCAGTATGCAGACACATTCCCTGAGGGAAGGGACAGTTGGTGGTGGTGCCACCACAAGCCCTCCTTCAAAGGATGTTCCTGCATGAAGTCCAGTACTCCTCCACCCTCCTGCTGCAAATGTCCTCATGGTCTCCCCCAGATGTTGCTGGCTGCACTTTCTTTCTTGTTAGGGAGGGGATTTACATTAAGGTTCTTGTCCTGCTCCGCTGGACTCCATCCCCATTGCTGGCCCTTAACCTCATTTCCATGCCTGGGAGCAGACGGCACTTGAAAACCCGGAAGGCTGGAAGTGGTTATTGGGAGAGAAGCTTTTCTGTCACCCAGTACATCTCAGCCTGCCTCCATCCCAGCCAGCTCTGACTCTGCCTTTCCTCCCCAGGCATTTATGTCATTGGCTTCAGCTACCCCGTGGTCCCCAAGGGGAAGGCGCGCATTCGGGTGCAGATCTCAGCCGTGCACAGCGACGAGGACATCGACCGCTGCGTGGAAGCCTTCACCGAGGTGGGACGGAAGCACGGAGCGCTGCCTTGAGGGGCCAGAAAACACCTCTTCAGCACCATCCCTGTCCACAACCAAGTGCCTCTGATGGGGAGAAAGGCCTGAGCAGCAGGCTGCCAAAAGCAGGACCGTTCCTCAAGGCATCACAGCCTGCGTCACATGAGTCAGGCCGCTGGCTGTTGCAGCGTGCTGGCAGTAGCACTGGCAACCAGCACTTAAAAGTGTCATTAAAGGTGTCCTGCGGTGCAGAGGATATTTGTCTGCCTCCTATTTCCTCATCCAGGAGCTGCACCCCATGCCCATCATCTCATGCTGTGACCAGACACTCTGCTATGCCTTCCCTGAAGCCTCAGTCCAGATGCTGAAGTGCTGCAGTTCCTGTTGTCTCCTGCTGATGAAAATAACAGCGTTGCTGATGTTGCCTGCTTCTTCTCTGCTATCCTGTGGGTCCAGCAGCATCACCCTGGCAGATCTGACTGCTGCAGTTCCCCACTGAGGCAGGGGTGTTTCCCAAGCCCTTTGCGACCTGTGCCACTGGCAGCTGGTTAGGGAAAGAGGACATGGGCCCACCAAAGCTCTGGTGCTCCTTTGTCTCTTTCTCACTCTCAGGTGTTAGACACGAGTTTTGCTTGGTCCCCACTTACAAGGCTTTGCCCATTGCTTCAGTGGTCCCAAACCTGCCCTGGGAAAGACATCTTGCCCCAGAGAGGCCATCAGGCAGTGAGCAAGCTGAGGTGGCAGAGGCCAGCATCATGGTGAGAGAATCTGCATCTGACTGAGGCCAAGGCCAGGGACAGAGCAGGTGACAGAAACGTTTAATTTTCTTCCATATGGCAGGAATCTCTGGATTTGTTCCTCCAAGCTGTGCTGTAGTATTTCAGCGTTCAAAAAGGCACACGTGGGGCCTGGCCATCTCTTAGGATTGCTTTGTTTGCATCATTTTTGTTCCAGATCAGAAATTGTGTGTCCTGCCAGCTGCCTGTGTGCTGTATGAGTGCAGCCAGGGACAGATTCTAGCTGAAGTGGAGTGTGCTGTGCCTGAGTGCTGGAGCGCTGGGTCGTATCAGCAAAGACCTGCTCTGAAGTCCTTATGTGTCACTGGGCTGTCAGGGAGCAAACTACAGGGCAATAATGTCTGACCTGAACCAGAGCAACTGCAGAAGAATACAGGTGTTAATCCAGGATTGTAGAGCTTTACAAGGATGCAAAGGACCAGGGGAGAAATGTGTCCTGTAGGTTCAATAGCACTGCAGCCAAACCCTTTTAGAACAGCTGGTAGTGTAACTGTGTGCTGATTTTGTTTAATTTTCCATTCTCACAGGCCATGAGCTCAGCCTGCTGATAAACTATGGTATGGAGTTCCCTTCCTGTGGCACCAGGCCCTCGCAGTGCTGCAAACCCTTTTCAACAGGCAGTATTTTGGCATGGGGAAGGCAGGGAGATTGCTCTCAGGCTCCTTGTGCAGCCTGGAAGAGATGAAAGTTCAGCCAGATGGGCTCAGGGAGGTTTGAGGCCCTAAACTGAATCACTGCTGGTTTGAGTCCAGTGCATGTGCACCCCTTGCTCCCCCTACCTGCACACTTCCATTGTATACCTGTACCACCCTCCCTCACATTCCTTTCCTGCTGTCCCCAGCCCTGGTCTCCCTCTCTGCAGGCATCCCTGCTGATGCCTCCGCTCCACTCAAGGCAGACAACCCAAGCAGTTTAACCCTGCTCCAGCTTTCCAGTCCTCCTCATTGGCAGAGCAGCCCCACAGATGTCTCTCTGCTCAGCTGCAGGCCAGAGCAGCGAGAGCAGCCTCTGTCCTGTGATGCTCACAGTTGTTTTTGCATGCACGTGTGGGCTCGTTCTTCTGCTCCTCTTCTCACCAGACGCACTGACCTCCCTCTCACCTCCATATCTCTTGGGTGCCTCAGCAGCCAACTCCCTGCGCTCTGCCTGCTTCAAGGCCAAGCTCAGCAGCAGGCTGTGGAGCTGTCTGGGGAACAGACTGTGTGGTGCTGGAATCCCAGGAAGGCAGGAGGGTCAGATGATGGCACACTGGTAATGAATAATGCCGTACTCATTGACTTGGAGGCATCATATTAATATTGAATTGAGGCACATCCTCCTGCTCTTTATTGCAAGGCCTTCCAGTCTCGGTCTGATCTACAGCTCTAGGCAGCTTTTAGCCCAGAAAGCAGAGGATTGTTTTGCTGAGTCGTGCAGGTGCCACTTTTTGAGGATGCAGTTCCCACCCCAGGCTCCCTGACCTACCCCATACCCTGTATGCTGCTCAGGCAGTCCCGAGTCTGGAGCTGTCACTCTCTGCAGTGTGGGATAGGTCCCATCCCATTTTCATGCACACCTAGCCCCAGAAATGCTTCCAGCCCTGGGTCATGGCCCACCTCCCACTTCTACTCTAACTAGGCTGCCTTCCTGCAGTCCCAAAATACCCCACTGCCCACTGATTCACTGCAGCCCTCTCCACATTGCTGTTTCCCCCCCGAGCAGTGACCCACCCCTACCTTTTGCTGGAATTCCCTTGCCCTGGCTCCCTGCCTGCAGCCCAACCAGGGATGCTCCAGCTTGAACTGAGCTGTCTGGGGCTGGTGCAGGCGTGTCTGAACCTCCCATTCAGTGCCATAATTTCTCCATCCCTCATCCTTTGCTGGAAATAAATGCTGCACAAGGGCCTCTGCTGGTGCTAATGCCTCACGGCACTGGTGGATGAGGGGCAAAGCAGCCACACCCCCCACCCAGGGGTTTTGGCGAGATACAGCAAGGACCGCAGCCATCCCCGCTTCCTTCCTGGAAGTTTATTTCTGTTTGGGAGGGTTTCCCCCAGCTCCGAGGGTGGGTCCAGACAGATGTTTGCCTTTTCAGGCCTTTTGGCCGCAAGAACAGGCGCCGGGGGGAGCCCGCTCAGCGGCAGGAGCACTTGCAGGCGGCCACGACGGGGTAGGGGATGTGCCGCCAGGTGCAGCTCGGGGGGCCGGGCTGCTGCGGGCCCCAGCAGTGCCAGGCCAGCAGCTTGATGCGGGTGAGCTGTGCGGGCCGGCAGGCCATGCCGGGGGGCCAGGAGCAGCCGGGGGGCCCGCTGTCGCACGTGGTGTGGCGCACCCAGCGGGGCCAGAAGACGGGTCCCAGGTCGACCCAGGCGGAGGTGAGGCGGCAGGCGGCCCGTTCCACCAGCCACTGCCGCAGGCGGCGGGCCACAGCCCCCGCCAGCTCGGGGGGCAGCTCCGGGGCGGGGGGCAGCAGGGCGGGCAGCTCCAGCCCCTCCGCCTCTCGCCACAGCTTGCGGCGATATCGCCCGGCACCCTCGGCCAGGTCCCTGCTCACGGACTCCAGGTTCTCCTCGAGGATGCTCCCGTTGCGGCCGCGGGGCTCCTCGGTCGCCATCCAGAAGGGGTCGAAGGCCGGGCCCAGGAGCCGGCGCAGCCGCCCGGGGCGCAGGTGCCGGGGCTTGGGGGCGTAGCGGTAGTCCTCGGGGGACAGCGACAGGCTGTAGGGCCGCGCCGGCGCCCAGGGCTGGCCGCGCAGCAGGTGGGCCGCGGGGTCGGCGGTGCTGGACGGCGGCGGCAGCGGCTGCTCCGGAGGCGGCGGTGGGCCCGGGGTGGCCGGTGGTGGGAGCAGACAGAGGAGGAGGAGGAGGCAGCTGCGGTGTGGTCCCTCCATGGCGAGCAGCGCTGTGACAGGCTGTGACCGGCTGCGGGCTTGCACTCTGCCGCATCCCCTGGGTTATCACCGCGTCCCGAGACATGGCCTTCCCCTTTTCCCTGCTTACAGCGGCTGATAGGGAGCTGGCGGGGACACCTCGCTCCTTCCCACCAGAGGGGCAGGTGGGGGGAGAAGCCGCATGGTCCCTCCTGACATCGAGCCATAATTTATTTATCGGGGATAATTTGGGCTGCTGTGGAGGGGAACGGGCCAGCGCCTCCTTTTCCACATCCTGCACCGTCATTGGAAGGGGTACCCACAACCTTCCCAGTGAAGGGAAGCTGGTGGCCTTTGAGTCTTGCTGAGAAAGAATCACCAAGCTGCACTCAGTGCAGCTGGAAGTCCTCAGGACACAGGTCGTGTCACCAGGATGGGCATGGCAGTAGGGCTGCGTGGGTCACTGTCCTCTCCTGCACATCATCCAGCCCCCGTGTGTCTCCAGGCAGCTGTGATGGAGCTGGAGCTCTGGAGGTGGCCATCGTGGAGGTTTTGTTCTCCCTCCCATACTGTAGTACTTGTGGAGTGGAGACCTGGACTGGATGGAATCCAAAACCAGCTTTCTCCTCCTTCGCTGGGTCAGACATTGTGGGAGAGGCTAAATCTGCTCAGTGCTACTAACAATTAATTAATAACATCTAGTAGCAGCAATTAATTACTCATCCTGCAGAGGGTTAAGACCCTATATTTGAGGGACAGGGCAGAGATGAGCCTCACAGTTGTGGGATATTTACGTTCCCTGGAGGCATTGGAAAACACATCCTGAACACTCAGCATTGAGAGGTGGCTGCTGAGGTCCAAGGGACCCTTTCCTCCTCCCTTTTCCATCAGAGTAGTGAGCTTTCTCTATGCCACCCCCTTCTCAGCAGGAGGAGCAGGGAGCAGCTGAGCCTGCAGGAAAGCTGGGCAGAGAGGAGTTAACTTCAAACCCAACCTCAGGGAGAGGGGAAAAAAAAACAACAGAGAACTATGGATCAGCAGCAAGAGCAGAGGGAGGGAAAAGGGGGAGTCAGAGAGAGAGGAGAGGAGCTCCAGAAGGAGAGGGAGCAGAGCTGGTGGCGGGCAGGGGGAGGCAGCGGAGCACCAGGCAGGAGTGATGGGATGACCGAGCTGCCCAGATAAACTCTTCTGTGGTCTGCATCCTCCCGGTACCACTGCGTGGGCTGGACTGGAGGTCTCCCCCTAAGCAAGTGGCAAAGCTGCAGGCCCTTCCTCAGAAAGGTGAGTGCCAGCTTCCAAAGCTGAAAGGTGGCCTCAGGCTCCCTGAGCAGAGACACCCTGGTGCATTTTGCATGCCCAGAAGGAGACTGGGTTCCTCCGCTTCAGTGAGGAGATCCCATGGGGCCAGATGGATAAGCTGGAAGGTAGCTATCAGTAGGACAGAGGGGACCAAAGACAGAGAGGCAGGGACGGTCTCTTGGTGTGGTACACAAAGAAGCTGGGAAGCAGAAGTGGCGTGAGCTGAGGGATGGGGGAGCATGGAGTGAAGGAGCTTGCATGACCCAAAACCGAGTTAATTGCTTGTCAACAGCAGCTAGATAACAGTGTCTTTCCTTCTCTGTTTTTGCTCAGAGAAGGACAATTTGTTCTAATGATAGCATAACAAGGAGAAGGCTTATTCAGAGATAGGCTGTTCGTGTTCCCTGTCTGAGCACAGCGTTACTCAGGGCTGCAGGAAGTTTTGCAGCAAATCACAATACCTTAAGCCGTGATAATAACGGGCTTCTTCACAGTGATCATCATGTTGTATTTCAGGTGGCTCCAGGGTCTCCTCCCCATCCTCACCTACCTGCCACCATCCAGCCCTCAGCATCAGGAAAAGGTGTGTTTAGCTGCCTGTCCTCTGTGGAGCATAACTACTGCATGGGGAGCAAGGAGCAGCCAGCTCCAGGGTGGAGGGGGTCCCAGCTTAAGGAGTTCCCTTGGGGTGGGAATGTGTTGGGGTGCTGCTGCTGTGGGGTGTGATGCAGGTATCAGGTCCCTGCTGTGAGAGGTGGCACAGCCCTGGGCTGAGTGTGCTGACACCACTTACAGCCCATGGGAGCCTCCTACCCCATGGCCCTGTGGCCAGACCCTGTTGAACACTAGCCAGGGTTTAGACTTGCCAAAGCAAGAAATCCCTAGGGGTTTAGCAGATTTGGGAATGTAGGAGGAAGGTGGGTGAGGCCAGGTGGCAGGGCAGGAGGGATCCTTCAGGGTGCTGGGAGCACAGGAGATGTTCTGATGGCAATGTGAATCTGGGCAGGAGAAGGAGGCCTCAGCTCTGCTCAAGCCAGGCAGATGTGGGCTGACTGACCACAACAGCATTCTTGCCAGTGATGTCACGAGTGTCTTGGTGACATCATTTAACCAGCTGGTTGGGATTGGCATCTCTGGGAGAAACGTGAGTGTCAAAGGCTGGGGTCAGGCACCTCGGGGCCTATTATCCCTTTCTCCCAATGCAGATCCCTGCAGTCTGACAGGAAGATGCCAGGGGGATTGAACATCTCTTCTGACAGCCCGGAGCTACGAGCAGCGGGGATTATTGTGCCCATCATCTTCTCCCTCATCTTCCTTGTGGGTACTGTGGGAAATGGGCTGGTGCTGGCTGTGCTGCTGTGGAATGGCCAAGTCAAGTACTCCACCACCAACCTCTTCATCCTCAACCTGGCTGTGGCCGACCTGTGCTTCATCATCTGCTGCGTCCCTTTCCAGGCTACCATTTACACCCTGGATGGGTGGCTCTTTGGGGCCTTTGCCTGCAAGGCTGTGCATTTCCTGATCTACCTCACCATGTATGCCAGCAGCTTTACCCTGGCTGCTGTCTCTGTTGACAGGTAAGTGCCCCCTTCCCTTTGAGTTCTGCAGCTCAGGGACACTGTGTTTGCCATTCTTGAGCTAAGGGTGGGAGAAAGGCCACTACTTGCCCTGTTGGGTGTCCTGTAAGAAGCAGGTTGGGTCTCCCCAGAGGCAGGGCCAGCAGAGCCAGTCTCCCCAGCTCCCCATGCCCCACCCTCTACCAAGCCAAGCTCTCAGCCTAATTACCCAGTGCTCACTTGGGAAAGAGGGGAATCCACCATGCATAAGCAAGAACAGCAAAACCTCCAGGGCAGCAACACAACTCAGAAGGAACAGGAGAGTCCTGCTCCTATCCTTCTCTTACCCGCTTCACTGCTTGCCCTTCCTGAGCTAGCACAGCCGAGTGGATGATAGAGATCCCAGGCACACTGTTGGAATGACCCTGATATTTTTGTGAATTCACTGTAACCCTCACTCCCGAAAGATTTGGGAGGGAAGAGATGGGTGGCTGCATGGGAAGGGGTACGCAGATGACAGCTCCACAGGGCAGGAGGAATACCTACCTCATCTCACCCATGTTGCGTTTTGTCTCTCCTTCTCCTTCCCCTCCTTGCCAGGTACTTGGCCATTCGCTATCCACTGAAGTCCCGGGATCTCCGCACATCCCGAAATGCAGGAGTGGCCATTGTGGTAATCTGGTCACTGTCGATGCTCTTCGCAGGGCCTTACCTCAGTTACTACCAGATAATCCATTACCATGGTGTGCCCCTCTGTGTCCCCATCTGGGAGGACCAGCACCGAAAGGTTCTGGACATCCTCACGTTTGTATTTGGATACCTGCTGCCCGTGACCGTGGTGAGCCTGGCATACTCTAGGACCATCAAGTTCTTGTGGACTTCTGTAGACCCCATAGAAAGAATCTCAGAGTCTCGGAAAGCCAAGCGTAAGGTCACCAAGATGATTGTCACAGTGGCCATCCTGTTCTGCCTCTGCTGGCTGCCCCACCACCTGGTCATCCTCTGCTTCTGGTTTGGCCACTTTCCCTTCAACCGGGCCACTTACGCTTTCCGCCTGGCTTCCCACTGCCTTTCCTACACCAACTCCTGCCTCAATCCCATTGTCTACGCCCTCATCTCCAAGCATTTCCGCAAGCGTTTCAAGCAGGCCTTCACCTGCCTCTTCTTCCAGAACAAGATCAGGAAAAAGAAGAAGAGAGTTGGAAGGAAAGTCCATATGGTCAATATGGAAAGAGGTTTTGCCAACAGGACAGGAGATTTCTATGGAGGCAACACTGAGGTGACGCAAGCCCCAGAAGAGAACACCAGGAAGAGGGACTATGAAGGTGCCAGTCGTACCGGAGCATGGACTCAGCAGGTACAAGATGCCATGGTATCTGTTCAGAAGGAGCTACTGGAGGAGGAAATTTTGGCAACAGCTGGCCATTCCCTAGGTGTGACCCCCCTAAGAGGAACTGTTATACAAGATCAAGAAGAAGCCCTAGACAAGGGCTAGAGAGGCAAAAAAGACGTCTCTATTTGCATCACATTTTCTGACCACATCACAGTGGTTTTGCTTTCCTCCAGGATCATCATGCCCATGCCTATCCCCACTGAGATGGTTTTATGTTGGCAGTGAGAGATGAGCTCGCTCATTCAGACCCACTAAACTGAGTTCAAGACCCCCGGTACTCCTCTAACACCTCCTCTGTGATCCTGTAGTCATGTCTGAGACCTGCCATCATCCCAGCTCAATATTCACAGTAAACTTGAAGTGACTGCAACAGCCGTCCTCTTCTTTAATTGTGTATGGTGTTTTATTAGTGCTGTGTGGATCCTGAATATGTAACCCTTAATGTGAGGCATGTCTGTACCTGTAATTTCTTAAGAGAAGGTGAAAATTGGGAAGCTTAGGAAAAAGTGTTTAGGGAAAGCTGTGACATTGTGGGACACCCAGACTTCCACACTGAAGAGGAAACAATTACAGGTTGTCATGGCACTTGTAAGTGTCCTGAGCCCTGCATGGGCTACAAAATCCTCTGGTGTCCTCACTTGTCCCTATGCATGGTGCTGGAAGTTGTGTCAAAAGTAAAGGAGTTTTGGCCCCAGCCAGTGCTGTAGGCATTGGGGCTGGGTGACATCAGGCAGCTTGCAGAGCTGTGATGTGCATGAGCAGAGCCATGATCTCCCCCTAATTTCTCTTATTTTTCTGTTCCCTACTTCTGTTTGCATAAATCTTTCCTTTTTGCTTTGTCCTGCCCACTCTTAATTCCCAGCTGACATGGTATTTCTAATGCTCACTGAAGCTGTTGTTCACCTTGCTGGAGCTCGGCTCCAAGGACATCCCTTTTTCTGTGCAGAGGCTAACTGAAGAGGAAGGCCAACAGTGCTGGGAATTAGTTTTCTTTTTCCATTCAGGTGCTTGATGTTGCTTTCTGCACTTTGGGCCTCCCTTGCCTCTCTCCCTGTTTCTGATTTTTCCACGTCTCTCCTTTTGTGGTGGCTGCCACTCCTCTACAGTGGATCTCTTTCAGAAACATGTCCAGTGTGCCTTCCTGGGAACAATGAGTTCTGCAGTCACCCTCTGCACATTATGCCATGGCTGGTGGCCAGCTCACATGGTCTCATAATTTCTTCAGGTGAAGACTCACTCCACAGCCCAAAGCATTGCAGGGAGAAGGGAACAGCAGTCAGAAGCAATGACGTGGCACAGCTGGACACTGCCTGTTCTTGCCTAGGAGCAGCCGGGATGTTGCTCACCCCTGATCCTGTTCTTCCTGGTCCCAGATTGCAAATGGAGCAGATCAGACCAGGACTGACTGCTGCACATTGAGGTGAAGCCTAAATGAAACAGGACAGAGAGGACAGGGAAGATCTTGGAGAGAAGGTGCATTTAGCACGACAAGTGGCTGCAAGCCCTGGACCCCTTTGCTACGTTCTGCCTGGTGCTAAGGCCCAGTTTGGAGGAGCACATGAGTAGGAAGGGCAGGTGCTGAGCCTGGGTTGGGAAGGCTCTGGAGCCAGAAGGAAATTCCTGTGTATCCAGTACCAGTTTACATGCTCCAGCTGGTTTCTCAGCTCAAAAGCAGAGGTGAAGCAAAGATGTCACATCCTTGATAGAGCGACAGGTTTAATTAAAACTGAAGGAGTTTGATTGCTGCTTTCCACGCAGCCTTCCCTCCAGACTGATTGTCGTTCTGCAGTCTCTGCTCCCAGCTTCTTGCCTTAATTAATTACTGTATTCTCTTATTTTCTATCCTACTTTTTATCACTCAGGCTGACAAGCTCATATTTAACCCTGCAGGGTCTGGTTTCCCACATCAGTAGAGTGCAGCTTTTCCAAGATCTGGAACAGGGTAGATGAAATGGGAGAGGTGTGAGCAGGTCAGGGTTTCGTGTCTAGTGGTAAGCGTCAGCTCTTCTCTGTGCAGTAACTTAGTCCTGCCAACTGTGTGCTGGTTCTGGTGTCTGGCATCTCCCTGGCATGTGTGACATGAGCCTGACATACTGGGAAGTGCCAGACCCAGGTGCCAAGAAGCTCATCCTGCTTATGACCCTGTGTGTAAATCTGGCAGCCCTGGGGAAAGGAATTCTGGTTATTTGCTTTTGGGTTTAGCTGCTGGTTGCTAATCTAGATCAGCACTAGCAGGTTGCCAGGTGATTATTTTAATTCTTCCTCTCTTAGAGATTTCATAAAAAAGCCCAGAGGAACGCTGTTTGCCATACCTCTGTTATTATCTTCCTAATCAAAATTTGCTGATTCCTCCACCTAGTCACCCCATGGGCCCTGACCTGCCCAGGGATGCTCCCCCAGGCTGGCCAGGCACAATGCATGAAGAAGGCATCTTTTTGTAAGTATCCTTCTGTAATGGAAGAGATCTTTGCTCACAGAGTGAGCAAAGGAAGTGGATGAAAGAGTGAGAAGTTTGCCAGAGATGCTTCATGGGGCTTCCTTAGCAGCACAGATAATTGCTGTGTTGGATTTGAAGTCTGCTAGAAAGGCAAAGGTGGAGGAAATAAATGAGTTTAGCTGTTGGAGATTAATTATTTCAGCTGCTGAAGAGCTGAACAAATTCTTGATGTTCACACACATTTCAGTGTGTGCTTTGCACTCGATAGTGTGGGTGAAGTGACTGCTCCAGAGAAAGGTCATTTGCTTAGTAACATCCATGCAGCTTTGCTGGGAGGCCTTGTCAGAGCTGTTGCTTCTGCTATGGCTCCTCTGTGAGACACAATCAGGTTCTCAGCTGTTTGTTTGCTTGGGGCAGATCCTCAGTCTGGCTGGTTTTGGTTCCCCTCACAGTACAGCAGCAGCCTCAGAGCCAGGGAGGTTGCTGCTGGGTTCAGTAGCTGGGAATTCTGCAGATCACATGCTCTGAATGAGGAGGGGAAATAGAGTGTATTTGGGGGTCAGGTAGTGGTGAGAGGGAACCAAAGCCTAAAGTCTCAGTTGATATCATGGCCCTGGGAATGGGGACTAATCATTGTCCAGGAAGGGATCTGGGGGGTGCATTTGATGGTGTAGAACAAAGAAAATGAGGAGTTTGGACTGATTCTAATGGCAAAATAAACAGCAGAGGGAAACCTGTGCTGTTGTTTCCATTCTCCATTACTGCAACAGAAACCTCTGGGAGACACAGACAATTGCCACCAGCCTCACGGGTTGTGCAGGGAAATCTGTTGCAGAGCTGCTGGGAGAAGCTGAAGCCTCTAGGCCAGAAGCAGAAAGAAAACCAGGCAATGCCAGTCAACAGCTCTCAGCACAGTGGGAAGCCATGTTTTCTCCTTCCCTGGAACAGCTTCTTTCCTGCCCAGCACCTAATTCTCATTCTGGATACAGCTGCTGAGCATGACAGGGTAGATAAGGCTCTGGGTATGACTGGCTGATGCAAAGAAACCTAAAACTTTTCTCCATCCAATGCCAAACACATGATACGGCTCAGGGCAGCCCACAGCTTCAAGCCCTGAGGCAGGAAAGCAGAACTGACTGTGGTGATTCATAGAACACAATTCCTACATGATACTTTTCTTTTCTCCACTGAAAACCAGATGTGCTTTTCTCTTTCTTACCTGGTGTTACTGCTAAAGCAGTGGCGAAACTTCCTATAGCCATTTGGTTTTTTATTGCCTCTCCTGCCATGGTGGGAGCAGTGTGGCAAAAGAAGCAAGACAATTGCTCCTGGCTGGCTGCAGCACCCCCACCTTTCCCCTTTGTCAGGAGCTGTTAAGAAAAAACCCAGCACCAGGCAAGAAAAAAGCCTGAAGAGCTGTGGACAACATCACGTGTGCCCACACTAAAAGCTTCACTCTGAGTCTCAGCTAGATGTGTTCCTGGGTTTGAGGTAAGCTGGTAAGAGGTGCCTACTTAGAGACAACATCAGCAACTGCTGGGATAAAGAGTGTTTTAGCCACGTGCTCTTCAGGCACCTTAATGGTCTCCTCAGCAACAAGGCTGCTGAGGGCAGAAGCGCTGGCAGCTGAGTGTATGTGGACATCAAGACTGGGCTGTAAAGATGGGAAGAGACAAGGTCAGTAAAGACTGGGCAGGAAGGTCACCTGCTCCTCACACAGGGGCCGTGCTGGAAGCTCCCTGCCCTGCCCCTGTCCTTCTCCGGTCCCTCATCCTCTTGCTGTCTCTTCACAGCACAGCCATTTTATTCGGCATGGGGCAAGGCACGACTTCTGCCACTGGGAAAGGCTGCTTTTCCTCTCTGCAAAATATCTCCCAGCTTGAAGCACTCCTGCCGGGATTCCCTTTCCTCTGTTTGTACGGTTTCACAGCAGCCTAGATTTTAAATTTGGATTTCTTGGCTCTGGAAGTCAGGATCAGAAAAGGTCAGCCAGCAACCCTGTACTTCGATCTGCAAACAGAGTGGTGATTGAACTCAAACAACTTTGTGTTGTCACTTCTGATTTGAGGACCAGGTATGAGAGTAGCATTTACCAAGTCCAGTGCTGTGCATGGGGCCTGGAACAGACATAAAGAAAGAGGCATGGGCTGCTCTGAAAAAGAGAACTTGGCCAAGGAATTGTAAAAGGCTGACAGGATTTTATTGAAGTTGAAAATACAAAAAGGTCAGATTGTCTCCCACCCTCTCGGCATCCTTCCCATCCAGTACATCATAATGAAGTATCAATATGCACAGTGACAGCTCCAGCCCAACCATGAGACTGCTGCTCCCAGCTGTGTCCTCCAGCAGCCCACACATGAACCCATCTAAAAGCCATGCCTATTTCTGGTATCTCAGCTTTGAACAGAGGTCCACTTAGCTTCTTCCTGGACAAGAGGCAGATATCAGAGAGCATGCTGACCTAAAGATCTCAAGAATGCTCCAAACTGTGGCTGCTGGATATTTAAGCTGAATCTTTAATAATACACTCTTTCAAACCAGAGACTCCCAAGCTGTGAGATAGGTGTGGCTACCAGCACACCATGGTGTGGTACACGGGTGGGAACTCAGATCACTATTGACATGTCCCTGTCACCCTGTTGCTGTAGGTGCCTTATCAATGAGATTTCCCGGATCCTTGCTCCACAGCAAAGCAACCTAAATCTTCATTGCTAACCACAGTGGGCAGAAGAGAGAGAGCAGCAAGAGCATTTCCCTGCATCTTTCATAGCTGCATCACTTCAGGCTCCCAGCATAAGCCATAATTCGTTTCTCACACTGTACTTAAGGTTCTCCATGCCAAGAAAGAGATACAGAATGGCTGAGCAATGGGTTTGGTGCTGCTGAGGCAGAAGTAAATCCACCTCCATCCTAGCCCAGTAATACAGCTCAGTGCACAACACCTCCTGTCACAACTGGACCTCTTGCCTGAGACTGGCAGTAACAGGAAATACAAATGTTAGTTATGGTGGGGCTTTTTTGCAAGATGTAGATGTCTGACTAGAAATGCATTAAGACTGTGCCCTCCAATCCTTATTCTCGCAACAGGGCATCTCTGACCTGCTAGCTGTGTACCAGGGTATTTTTTGGAAGTGTTACACTGTAATATTTAAGCACTAACTTGCAGCAGACTTAAAAAATGGGTCTAGTCTAGCCATGAAAAACTTTGTATCCCATTTGTAAACAGACACATTCTCTGCCTTCTGACAACAGGCTCTGTGAAGGGTGAGAATTAAGCCTCAGTGCATGTTTCTTAAGGCAGAGTGTTTGCTCAGCTTCTAGCATGCAGAATTAAATGTGTGTTCTTCTCATAGCACAAAGCCTTCTGCTGTTCAAGGCATTCACTTTCTCCCTCATGCAATTAAGCAGTATGGAGGTGGCAAAAGGTGCCTTTTCCAAGCAGGAATGTTCCAGGGCATTTCTGTGATGCTGGCCAGCTGCTGAGTGCACTACTGAGGGCTGGTAACTGCACATGGCATTGGTCACCACCTACATTGAGCTGACATACTTAGGAGAAGGCAAAATATCTCTGGAAAGGGTACTCTATTCATTGCCAGCCCATCTGGTAAAAAGTAGAACAGCTCTTTTACCCCAAAGTCACAACTGCAGCATTCTTGTCTGTTGCCTTTTTTGTGCAAAGCCTGCTGCCTTCCCATGGGGCAGCTGTGGCAGCACCAACAGGAACAGTCTGAGCACCACTGGAGAGTCAGTCTGGGCAGGAATGGCTGCTGGCAGCAATGTTTAGTCAGTGATTTGAGAAGCAAACTTCAGCTTCCTTTTCTCTCTAAGGCTTCTCCTGTTGCTCCAGGAAGATGATTTGGCAGCCCATTACCTATTGTCCATCTTCTGCATCTGCAGGCTGAGTGATGTGAAGCTGGCCAGGAGGTCTGTAACCTCATCCACCTGACAGGAGAATACACATGGCCATCAGGGAGGGGAATGCAGCTGTGCAGCCACCCAGCCCCACAGAAGAAACCCCCATGCAGCAGAGACCACCCTTGCACTAGAATTGCCAGTAATGCCCATGCTGAACTTACACTAGGACAGGATCCTTTTGGTGCCAACAATCATGCAGAAGGGCTACTATCCTCATCATCAAACAAGCCCTAATCTAAGGCAATAGGAGCTTCTCCCCATTCTTCAGGAGGTGATGCTCTGTGTGATTTAGCCAGTCCTTAAAATACAACCATGTAGCTACATTACCCAAAACTCAGACATGGTATCAGGGCTATTTCCTCTAAGCCTGTTTCTAGGGGCCAGTCTTTAGCAGGAAAAAACCCCAGGCCCTGCAACCCTGTGTAGTTGTGCTGACCCTGGCCTTAAACTGACTGTGTCCTCAGCCCGTCTGATCCTCAGCTTCCTGCTGCTTGGCACTGTGATGCTTTCTGCATTTGGAATGTTCACCTAAAGGAGTACCATGAGTCATCCTGTAACTTGCCCACTTGACCCAATGTGAGCAATAACCATGTCTTCAGTGCCCCATTGCTCATGCAGTTGCATTCTCCTAAATGCAGGAGTCCCAATCCAAGGAGGTGAGTCAGAGTAGCTCAATGCTGCCTACCTGCTCCTTTGTGCTAGTCATCTGTAGCCTGGAGCAGAGGTCATCCAGCTGTTCCTTTTGCTCATGCCTCCCCAGACGGTCCAGGTATTCCCGCAACATCTGGATAATCTGAAACAAACAGGCGTAAGAGGCAAACATCACAGAGCTGCACCAGGCTGGAGTGTTTCCACAGGAAAAATTAAACTGCCAAGCACACAGCCTTGGAGCTGCAGCACATAGCAGAGTACATGACCCCTAGAGACGAACCCAGGCAAAGCAAGGACATGGCACGAATGGCCGCACCAGAGTCCAGCGAGTCACCAGAAGTGTTCACCAGTCACAGATGGACTAGATGTGATCCTTGTGCCTGGTCAAGAACAGGATAGAGAGATAAGCCCAGCTGAAGCAGCACAAGGTCTAGCCCTGAAAGCACCAAACTTTTTAAAATGGCTAGTTAGCTTCCCTCACTGTGAGGAGCAGGGACTTCTAATTTCAGCAGGATCTGCTCATGCACAGAGGATAAAAATCCTTGTGTCTGTGTGGCTCCTGAAGTGAGGCCCATGCCCCATGCATTTGCAGGACCAGGAGTGCTTTCCTATTCCGTGCCTCTACATACTGGAGCACAGCAGACTGTGTTAGGAATACAGAAAATGTGTACAGCACAGCTACAGCCTCGTGCCTTGTCCCTCTCCTGCCACAAGGCATCTCTTACATTGTGGTTGAAGAAAAGAGTATGCTCCATACAGCGCAAGAATCCACTCAATGCATCCTTAGCTTACCAGAGCCAAGGGAGGCCCTGGAAAAAATTAAAGTAGAGGCTGGGAAAAAGGAAGGTCTCTGAAAATGGAAGTCAAATTCTTCCCACAGCAGTTAAGAGCCTACAGACAGGCATTTAAGTAAAGGGTGCAGGAGGCTGCCAGGGGCTGCACCCCATTACCAGAACATGGGGCTGTTTCTTTTACCTGTTTCACTTCAAGGCGTACAGCCTCCAGGCTGTGGGAGAATCCTTCCTGCAGGATATTCAGCTTTGACTTAGCGAGGTGCAGTGGGGTTCTGCCAGCTCGATCCAAGGCATCAACTCTGGCCCCTGCAAGATGCACGACCAGGGACAGTGAGGTCTGTCACCAGGATTTGGTGTCCCTGGAGAGTTTCAACAGGGCAGGAAGGGAACAGGTGTAACTGTTATAGAGGAAATGTTACCTCCGCGCAGCAGCGTGGTGATGACGGGAACATGGTTCGTGCAGGCAGCTGGGGAGGGAAAACAGAGGACACACAACTCAGAGGTACAAACAAAAATGAGTTTCTGCTCAAGGACAAAGCTTGCTGCTCTCCAAAGGGCTTCTCTGCCAGAGGAAAGAGGAACGGCCCAAATGCTAAGGTACCCACCCACTCAAGCCTGAGTACTCTATCTGGAACAGATCTTGGGGCTGGCAGAGGGAGGGAAATCAATTTTTTCAAAGCTTTTCTTTGATTTTGAATCTTTGAGGAATGAAGTAGTGAGGAGTGAATCTAATGAAATGCAAAGAGTCCCTCCTAGGTGCTTAAATTTAGGGATGCACTCTGTGAGGCACAGGCAAGAGGAAGGTGGAGAGGAAAGGAACAGAAAGGAGGTTCTCACCTCACTTTTCTGCATGCAAAGCTCATCTGTGTGGCACTTACCCAAGTGTAAGGGAGTATTGCCCAGCCCATCTCTCTGGTTTGGGTCAGCCCCATGGTCCAGAAGCAGTTGGACTAGAAACAAGGAAACAGAGACACATCAGTCCCTTCCCTTTGCCCCACAGATCATGGGCCACAGATCCATGTGGCAGCCACCAGGCTGCCCTAAGGGTGCTTCTGTTCAGCCCATCAGCTTCCTTCCTGAGACAGGGCAGGGGTTTGCACAGCAATGCAGAAGGACCCAGCACAGAGCCATGCAGTGCCACTGCTCCTGGGCTCCCTGATGCGAAGAAGTGGGAGGAAGGACACCCTTCCCTCTGCACCAGTACAGTCTTAGAACAGGGAGGTCCTGCTCCCCTTCCAGCAGGCAGACATGGCAAACCCTGGAGTCAGAGTTGGCAACTTTGACACAAAAGGAACAGAAAAAAGCAACCTCTGACAGGTGCTGAAGCAAAATAAAGAGCACCCTTCAAAATCCCCACCACTTCCAGAGAGGCTGGAAGACAGAGCTCCCCTCCACTCACCGATGTGATCGTTGCCATTGCAGGAGGCAAAGTGCAGGGCTGTCCGGCCTTTGTCGTCCGCAGCACAGGGGTCAGCTCCATCCTCCAAGAGTTGCTGCACTGACAGAACCAAGGAGAAAAAAGCAAGTAAGCTGAAGGGGCACCTGATCAGAGAGTGCTATCTGCTCTTTTGGTGTACAGAAACATGCTGTCAGCTGCTAAGTCAACTTAGCAGCTGTGAGAGAATCCTTCCTACAGGATATTCAGCTTTGACTTAGCGAGGTGCAGTGAGGTTCTGCCAGCTC